GAGGAGGAGGAGGAGGAGGAGGAGAAGGAGGATGAGGAGCCATTGCGTTCGCCGTGCCGACAACGGGGCCCTGAGGCAACGGGGGTTCGGACTCGTTATCGCCGGCTGCGGCCTCCCAGGGCCACATCCAGCCCCCCCTGAAGCCGTCAAGGACGACTCGGGAGGAACATTTTGGTCCTGACGAACGGCCCAGGGTCCAGGATCCAGACCCCTCTCCCTCATTAGGGGAACAACGAGTGGCAAGGCATAACAACTCGGAGGTCCGCGCGGACCTCCGAGTTTTTATGTTTATGCCACTTTTTGTTCTCCTATTCATTTTTTTGTTTCTTGTTTGTTTGCCCGATGGGTCGAGATTCACCGTGCTCGACAGGTCGTCAAGCTGCTGAGCGATTAGCACGTTCGGTGGCTACATCGTATATATAATCATTATTTGGCAGCCGCTCTGGACGGCTGCTTTCAGCTGGGTTGCAGCACGTCCATTCGGTGGCATACCCCACTTGGTCTCCGCGTCGCGTCCGTCGTTCTCCCTGCCCCCTCTTCCTCGGCGGCCTGCTTGCATTGTGGTGCAGTGGTGCATTTCCCTTCTCATCTGTGTAGCGCGTGGGAGATCTCTAAGGCAGAGACGTTTTGCTCCGAGTGGCAGTTCGACATTATGAACAGCCTCCCGCGCAACAAGGAGGGGCGGGTTCCCTGGTGGTCAGGAATAGCACACGGAGTTGGACGACAAAGGGGACGCAGAGGGACAGTTGTGATTGTGCGTGCATTCTTTGGCCCATAATGTCCGATGCATTTTCGAAAGTCCATAAGTATGCAGCATGGTCAAACCAAGTTTCCTCAGCGACTTGGGGCTGTGAGAATCGTCCATGATATCACTAAGCCTCCCCCCTTAAATCGAGGATGACACTGCATTCTCGGCATGCTGTGCAGCCGTGTCGTGCCGTGCAGTGCGTCACCCTGCCGTGCGACGTGCCGCGTCGTGCCGTGCCGTGCCGTGCGTGGCGCCGTGCCGAGCGTGGCGCCCGGCGTGCGACGCCGCGGCATTTGCAGACACTGCTCGTGCGGCGCGGCACGCATCGTACAGCGCGCGCGGCATTGCTCTCGCGACACGCCATGCTGTGCCGTGCCGCGCGGTGCCCTGCCGTTCGGCGTGCGCGGCGCAGCAGGGCACGGCACCCTACGGGGGGTGGGTGGGGGGGACCAAGGTGCGGCACGCACGGGGGGACGGAGGCAGCCCGATCTCCAGGCCTGGCTCTGCATCGGAACCTCTTCCCTCCACCTCTGGGGCGGGACTGGCGGTCCTTCTTCCCCGCCTTGTCGTGTCGTTGTCGTTGTCGTCGTCGTCGTCGTGTCGTGGGTCCCACGGTCCTCCGGTTTTTTGCCCTTGTCCCTCGGGCGTGCGGGGGGCCTTGCCCGTTCGGCGCCCCCTTCGTGGGGGCGGTCCCGTTCGGTTGGGGTCTCCCGTCTGCCCGTGTGGCGAGGCTTTTTCCCAGTCCCGCACGGGCGGGCTCGCCCGTCGCCCGCGTGGGCGGGGCGCTCACCTCCCCCGCCCTCCTTCTCCCCCATCTCTCGTTCTTATCAACAACCTCCTCCCTGTCGCACCACCCGACGTTTCCGTGGCCAGGTCGGGCGCTTCGCTGGAGTTTTCTTCGCAAGTTGTGACCCCGGAGCTGAGAAGTTCCAACCGTTGTGCTGACGGAAAGCCCGTCGTTTTCAAAATGTGGCTCTCGCTTTAGCGTTGCGTGCATTAGTCTGAAGCGCTTCCAACAGCCATGCGGTTGCAGGCAGGCCGTTCTCAACGTGTAGCTGTCGCGTGAATGCCGCGTTTTTTTTTTTTTTTTTTTTTTTTTTTTTTTTTTTTCCCCCCCCCTCGCGGGCTTCAGCAGATGTACGCATGGAGACTTGCTGTCAACATCGGCTTCTTGCCTGAGTCTTCTTCATGCCATGTCACCTGCACGGGTGGAGGGCGATTCTTTTTCAAATGTTAGCCAACGTGGGCCCGAAGTAGGGTGTTTTAGCATACTATGTGGTGCAACGTATGTGGTGCAATTGTGCGGCGGCGATTGCGATGAGTGCTTGGCGTCGGCGGGTGCATTTCTGCGGCCGCGCTAGCCCGCGCACGCTCGCGCGCACAGCGGCCAGCTAGTTTGGCGCGACCGACCGACGCGGCCGCGGTGGCGCTGACCGCTTGGCACTCCCCAGCGGGCACTTCAGTGCGAGTCGGTGATTTGGGCGGGCGCGGTATCATGGCGACGCCGACGCCAATAGACACGATTATGCAAGTAGCGATGATGGTGACGATGGTGGCGATGACGAAGGCAAGGCCCATTACGGCGCCGATGTTGATCACGCCCGCCGGTAGTAACGATGACGGTGTCTTCGCGTCGGCGATGAAGGTTCTTGCTGGAGTTCGACATGCGCGCGCGGCCGGCACGCGCGAGTTGCCCGCGTGGTTTTTTTGACACAAATCGTGCTTCCCCAGCACGCGCCCAAGGGCATTCCAATGATTTCGACATGCGGCGCGGGAGGCCCCGTGGGTAGAATTTGATGGACATTTTTCAATTTGTATATAAACCCGCACGACCGCGGGCGCAGGATTTTCTGAACAGTGGTGATGCACAGCCAAGGGGTTTGACTTGTTTTCGAGACACTATTTTTTCCAATCCTTACGGGACCAGAAGTTGTTCCTCAATTTTCCTGTGTTGGGTATTCGTTTTGAACTGAGCACTGTGACCTCCACCTTCCTCTTCTTCTCCTCCCCCTCCTCCTCCTTCTTCTTCTCCTCCTCCTCCTCCTCCTCGTTCTCCTCCTTCTCCTCCTCCTCCTCCTCCTCCTCCTCCTCCTCCTCCTTCTCTTCCCCTCCGCCTCCCCCTCCTCCTCCTCTTCCCCCTCCTCCTCCCCCTCTCTCCTCCTTCCTCCCTTCATTCTCTTCGTCGTCGTTTCCTCCTTCCTCCCTGCCTCGTGACTTCGCCGTCCCCTGGGGGGTTGCGATCTGCGAAACTGTTGCCACTTTCGTGGGTTCCTGGGGTGTCCAGCGGGGGGGTGTCCCACGGGGATCACCATGAGACCTCGCCGTCCCTGGGGGGCTGCAATCTGCGAAACTGTCGCCCTTTAGGGGTGTCCCACGGGGATCACCACGATACCTCGCCGTCCCCCTGGGGGGCTGCGATCTGCGAAGCTGTCGCCGTTTTCGTGGGCTCCTGGGAGGCCCAGCGGAGGGGTGTCCCACGGGGATCACCACGATACCTCGCCTTCCCTTTGGGGGGCTGCGATCTTTGAAACTGTTGCCACTTTCGCGGGCTCTTGGGAGGCCCAGCGGAGGGGTGTCCCACGGGGATCACTATGAAGCCTCGCCGTCCTCTGGGGGGCTGCGATATGCGAAGCTGTCGCCACTTTCGTGGGCTCATGGGAGGTCCAGCAAGGGGGTGTCCCACGGGGATCACCACGAAACCTCGCCGTCCACTGGGGGTTGCAATTTGCGAAGCTGTCGCCACTTTCGTGGGCTCCTGGGAGGGCCAGCGGAGGGGTGTCCCACGGGGATCACCATGCGACCTCGCCGTCTTTGGGGGGCTGCGATCTGCGAAGCTGTTGTCAGTTTCGTGGGCCTCTTGAAGATCCAGCGGATGGGTGTCGCACGGGGATCACCATGAGACCTCGCCGTCCCTTGGGGGTCGCGATCTGCGAAACTTTCGCCACTTTCGTGGGCTTCTTGGTGATCCAGCGGAGGGGTGTCCCACGGGGATCACAATGAAACCTCGCCGTCCTTGGGGGTTGCGATCTTACTTTCGTGGGCTCCTGGGAGGTCCAGCGGAGGGGCGTGTCACGGGGATCACCATTAGACCTCGCCGTCTCTGGGGGCCTTGGATCTGCGAAACTTTCGCCACCCTCGTGGGCTACTGGGAAGTCCAGCGGAGGGGTGTCCCACGGGGGTCACACTGAGACCTCGCCGTCCTTGGGGGGCTGCGATCTGCGAAACCGTCGCCACTTTCGCGGGCTCCTGGGAAGTCCAGCGGGTGTGTGTGTGTGTCCCACGGGGATCACAATGAAACCTCGCCGTCCCCGGGGGGCTGCCATCTGCGAAGCCGTCGCCATTTTCGTTGGCTCTTGGGAGGTCCAGCGGAGGGGTGTCCCACGGGGACCACCATGAGACCTCGCCGTCCCTAGGGGGCTGCGATCTTCGAAACGTTCGCCACCAGTCCCATGGTATATTAACCAGGCGGCAGTCAGGCACAGGGCTGAACACATGAGGCACAGGCAGGTGTGATCCCAGCCTTGCTTATAGTGCCCCGTGGACGCATGTCGCTGTCCGTTGCCCATGCCGCATCCCTTCTTCAGCCGCCTGTTGCTTGTAGTGCATGCGGGTGCATGCTACGTTTAACGCACGGCGCTGTACTACCATAGGTGCGCAGAGCGCTGTCCTGCAATGCGAACACAGCGCAAGGCTCTTCTACTCCCACTAATTCTGTCTCCAATCGTCCCTCCTCATGTTTCCATGCTCCCTTGTGGTCGCTCTCCTGCCAACGACCTGGCTCTTAAGAGTGACGCCGCATATGTGAAACATGTGAGTTTGACCCGACGTTCTTTAGCGAAGCGTTCAAGGGCATTGCGGATTATTCCATGCTTGCTTTGTTGTTTCGCGGTCCGATGTATACTCGCCACATGCTTAAAAAGGGTTGGGTACGTCCCCTGCGCGCGCGACGGCGCGCGCGTGTGCACTTCGTCTCATTTGTTGCAAGGGGTTCTTGCAACAGCACGGGCTTTCGACTGATTTCGACGTGCGCGCGCGAGAGGCCCGTCTGGTAGCATGTAGGAACATGGAAAACCATGGTTTTCTTAACGATTCGCCAGAGCACGGGCGCATGTTTGTTTTTTTTTGAAATTCACTTTTTGCGAAACGAGCTTTTTTTCCCCACATTCTAAGTGGGGTTCCGATTTTCTCTACACCCGCGTCGCACCGCGTTCACCTCACCTGGGGTTCTGATTCCCCACATGCTTAGTGGGGTTCTGGTTTTCTTCCCTGCCGCGTCGCACCCGCGTCTCACCTCACACCTCCCCTCCGCCTCACAGCACTGCTCAGCACAGCTCAGCTCAGCTCAGCTCATCACGGCACAGCTTAGCACAGCTCAGCTCCGCTCGGCTCAGCACAGCACAGCACAACGCAGCACAACACAGTTCACCGCAGCACAGCACAGCACAGCACAGCACAGCACAGCACAGCACAGCACAGCACAGCACAGCACAGCACAGCACAGCACAGCACAGCACAGCACAGCACAGCACAGCACAACACAGCACAGCACACAGCACAGCACAGCTCAGCTCAGCACGGCGCAGCTCTGCTCAGCTCAGCTCAGCTCAGCACAGCACAGCACAGCTCACCGCAGCACAGCACAGCACAGCACAGCACAGCACAGCACAGCACAGCACAGCACAGCACAGCACAGCACAGCACAGCACAGCACAGCACAGCACACAACACAACACAGCACAGGCGTGGCACTTTCTCGACACCATAGGGGGTGCGCAGGGGGTGGTCTCTCACCGCGGCCGCTATCCGTGACAGGTCGTCCAGGGCACAGCAGGCATGGCATATTCTCGACACCATAGGGGGTGCGCAGGGGTGGTCTCTCACCGCGGCCGCTATCCGTGACGGTCGTCCAGGGCACAGCAGGCATGGCA